AGGTTTGGTTGTTTTACACCAACGCGCAAAAAAGGCAAAGGTAATTTTGTGAATCATGTAGAAACACGTGATCAAAATTGCAGGGAAAACGAACAGGGCGAACTTGCAAATGGAGCAACTGCTGCAAAGCGTGCAAGCTTCAATACTTACTGGTGTTGCACTGTCTTGCGCATTCTAAGGAAAGCGAAGGTTTCAGAATCATCTGAAGGTCGAGTCAAGGGAAGTAGTCTGACCCGTCACTTGTTCCGACCTGACTTGCTGCACATGCTGAGCAACTGCTTTCCGACATCGTCTTGTGCAAAGAAAGCCCATGTTCCCGTGTGAAACAGGTTTCCATCATTTTTCTGCAAACTTTGTCCAAACATTGGCAATTTCTACCTGCTTTTGCCTGTGTCTCGTGCAATTTTTTCCAACTTTTCAGCGCCATACCAGAGATTGGCGTGGTCAAGCAACCGAAGCGAGGTAAAGTTGCAACTTTTCCCGCGCGAACTCTTGGACCGGCTTGGAGCCGCCTTCTTCAAGATTCAAGTACGCAAGAATGATTTGTGGTACAATGCTCAGCTGCAACTGCTGAAGAAGTTGCATTTCAACTGTTTTGTAGCTGCCTTGTCCCGTGTCGTCCCCTTCCCCGCTCTAGAAAGGGGAAAACAACAACTCTGGAGCCATGGTTATGGGTTGGATTTAACTAAAGTCGAAGCCAGGTTCAAACCTGCATGAACCTGGTTGGTGAATTGGCTAAATTTGGGTGGTCCGCCAAGTTCTCCATCTGAACCCACTTGCCGTCTGTTATCCAAAGAGCTGGTCTTAGCTCTTGCAAGGTTGCAGCATTCTTCCATTTTTCAGCTTCTAGGTTTGTGGTTTGGAGTTTAGGCTGTGGATAACTCAACATGGGACTGTCTGGAGGTTGGACTTGGGCGGCTTGTTGAAGCGTCTTTCGGGGTATGTTTGCTGTCGACTAAGTAGTTTGCAGTTGCCAGACGGCCAAAGCGATGGTTCTGTGAAAACTTAAAGTCAAGCACTGCAGCCGGCTTGATTTGGGGCTTACCGTGTTCTTGCAGTCATGTTCTTGTGACAAAGGACTGGCAAGCACGGGCAGAAGTCGCTAACTGACCGCATGGATGAACCTGTTGTCAACGTTTGAAAAAGGTTTATTGAAGAGATAGAATGGGAAGCGTGATGACAGTGCATGGAAGTGTGTCTTTGTCGCCACCTGTTTGAACAACAAAGCTTCTGCTAAGTTAGCGGAATCTTCATGTGTCAGTCCAAGTTGAGTCCAGATCCATGGGTTTGCAAGTTTGTCCAAATCTGAATTGCTGCAAAACCTTCATGACGTCGTGGAAAAAGTGACGGCTTTCGTTTTGGAGCAAGCTTGTGTCCTCGTGATTTTTAAAGCAGAGGGAAGGCAGAAAACACGGATCCTCGATAATTCAGGCCCGTCGTTCATGTTTGACGATCTGAGATAGCTGTGATCTGAGTCCAAACCCAGCTTCGTGGCATGCTGCGAAACTTTTGGCAGCTTGGAAAATCCGAGTTGCAAGCATCTCGCCCAGCACATGCTCGCAGTAAGACTTTGTTTGCAGCTGTTTGCTCGGACGGGGCAAGCTTCCCGGCACAGCCCTTTTGGCGGTGTGGTTTTGGGAACTTCCATCTGAGGCCAGGCCGGAGCGTGTTTTGCAGAAGCCGAGTTTTTGCATCAGAGGCCTTGCTCTCCCTGTAGGCTCTCGCGGCATGGCAGGGCTGAGATTCTCGGACCCTTGGCTGCGCTCAGACGTAGTTAGACGTAGTCCGAGTCTCTGTGTTTTCTCGATCGACTAGGATCTGGGAAACGTGCTGGGCCTTTTGGGCCTGGCATCGTCGCTGTTCACGACCATCATCGGCATCGTCTATGCCACTGCCTTAAGTCACTGTGTCACCGCCCTTAGGGTCGTAGGGGCGGGAACGGTTCTGAGACCTGGTACCATCACCCGGTGCTCCAGCTCAAGTGGTCTGAGTGTGGCTTCTGCCTCAGCGAAGCGCCGAAGCTTTTCAACACGGCAGTGTCTGCTACGTGTTGAAGCTCCAGGATGGTCAGACACGGCAGCAACAAAATGGGTTGACTGCAATTCAGAGTGGGCCTCGAATTTCGGTTGGCAGCTCAGACATCTCCTCGGCAAGGACTGCACCGAGACATAGGCGGTCAACGGAAACGTTCCCATTGCATCTCCCGAATGTTCTTGAAGGCATGGCCCAGCTTCCGTCACTTGTGCCAGCACCTGAAAGCGTTGGATTCATTGGACGAGCTTAGTTCAAGGACCTGGAGAACGCAGCGGTATGTAGAACTTATTTGCCCAGGCCACTCTTGATGGGAATTTTCGGCACTTTCATGTATCGCCCAATGCTCCTCCAGGCCCGCCTTGAATTCTGGCATGCTTTTCGGGTGCTATGTTGGCGGAGAGGTGGGTGGCTTTCCCAAAAACTTTGTGCAGTGTTCCCCTCAGATGTGGAGATCGCAGCCTTCTCGCATGCAGGCCACGTGTCATGCGGTCCGCAGGTATGCGGTCTGGCTCCTATTCCAGGGCATGTTTGCTAACTTCGGCTACTGTGGCAAGTGCGCCCCTTGAAAAGTAGAGTTAGTTGATCGAAGTCGTGCTGCTTGGCTGGGCTAGATTCTAGATGAGAGGCTTGGCGTGATCAACGGGTGGTTCAGCATCATCCTTGCAGTCGCCTCGCTGGTGGCAGAAGTGACAGGCTCTGACCTTCGTTGCTGTGGATCTTTGCAAGCGGATTGAAGGGGATGCGCCTGTTCGGGAAGGCTTGAAGACCGACCGCATGCTGGAGCTGACAGGGCCGGGACAAGCGAAGCACCTTCGTCGCCTACCCTTCTAGGAGACATTCCGTATCGAGGCACAAGTTGGTGTCTTGTGGTGGCAGCAGCGCGTCGGAGAAGGTCTCCTCGAGGTATGGGGCCGCTTTGTTGAGAGCCGTTGTGCACACGTGATGCGCTGCTGCAAAGGACGACAGAGAAGGATGGTATCAAGGCAGCCGGCATGTTGTAGAGGGTGTTGGCGGCTACAGGCATCTAAAACCTAGAAGGATCCAGAACTGTGAGACTGGCTGCCTCCATGCGACAGGATTACATGCCCTGGGCCATCGTATCCGCATTCTTCTGCCCGCACTGCTGACGCTGATTGCACTATGCAAAGATGTCAGATGTTCGCCCAGCGATGCAACTCTATGGGGATGTCTATGGCAGGCTCTTAGGCGGCTACGGCGTCTACCAAGCATCGCAGGCCTGTCCCTGCGGTTTTCGTGTGCGATGTTTTCTCCGAGCCCCTTGAGGTGAAGAAGCTGAGGAAGAAGGATCCCAAAGCAGCCCGGAGAGCTGCGAAGTCCACTACTACGATGCTGCCTCAGCTTGACATGCGATCCTCCGACCATCGCAGCACGTTGCATCTTTTCAGCCTCTGTCCAGGTGGAGCCTTTACGCTCTCATGCTCGGTGTCGTCATACTTGGCGCGTCGGGGACTCGGGGACTCAGGGCCTCTTCACGGCCCCGGATCTTTCCGATGCCAGGACTCTGTGGTGTTTAGGGGGTCGCTGCCAGGGCCAGGCTTGGACTCCTCAAGCAGCTGCCGGTAGAAGTGTGGTTATGTCATGAAGGGGATTGCAGTGCACCTCTACTTCGTGGGCTTCTTCCTGTGCATTCTTGTAGAATTCGGTTTCCGTTGTTCGCGCTCAACGATATGTTCGTTACGTCCTGGGAGGAGGGTGGGGCTAGGTTGAGCCAAGTCTGCTCACCTGCTTTACGGAAGCATCAAAATGGGAACCACAGCGGAACATCATCCGGTGGCAGAGTACAGGACTGCCCACGCGAACACGCACGAGGAAGATTCCAGAAGACAGTTTTCATCATGCCAACAGGTTCGCTGACAAACACTTCTACTCAACGTGGCTTTAACAGAGCTTGGAAGGAAGGAAGGCCCGGAATCAGCGTGGAAGATGTATTTTGTTTCGCAGGGCATTTCCTGCACTGAGCACTGGGAAAGAAATCCTTGTACCCATGGCCAGTGCTGATCTGTTAAGGTTTACCACCATCTATGTCACAGACGGCAGAGCGCTGCCCTAAGAACGTGTTAGCGCAACAGATGTGGCTGAAGAGCACGTCGCTCCTTGCCCTTCTGTCCAGGTGATGGCTCCGGCGGCTGGAGGTTACGGCGATGATGGTGACGATGGCGATGACGGAGATGATGCAGGCGATGACGCGGCTGGAGAAGCTGCTGACGCAACTGAGGAGACCCAAGCGTAGACCTTTAACTTGTAGGGCTGTAGTCTGCGGCCAAGGCAGCTTGACGGACTTAGCCCGGAACCGGCTGGAGAGATGCTGCGGCGGGCAAATGCCACGCAGTTCTCCGTACACTATTCGCAACGGGAGTGGAGTCTTTAGAGAAGTCAGTAGGGTTTTGCAAGGTTTGGAATGTGTAAGCGGAAAGGCGACATGTGGAATCTGTTTGGTAAGTTTGGTCGGAAGTGGTGGTTCTGCAGCCTGTTTCCCAGGAAGCAACGTTGGAACAAGCCGGCACCTAGAGCGTGCTAGGTGTGTCACTTTTCCATACAGGACGGACTGCGCAGAAGCGCATAGGATTAATGCCTTGCCAAATGCTTAATGCTTCGAGTACCAAAAAGGGGGCTGCGAGTGGTCGACGAATCATTCCACCTCATCCGACAGTGTCAGGACCTGCATCTTTTGAACCTTTGCTTGCCATGCTTGCAGCACTCCGGACGAGCATCAGCATGCGGACATGCATCTCGAACGTCGTCAGCTGTACTTGGCTCACCAGTCAGCTGTCATACCATGTTGTGGCGAGCTACGGAGCCTGTGCCCCAATTTCCCAACCAGAGCAAAGTACAAGCTGCTTCCCGCCTTGCGCGGTCCGATCTTGCAAACGTTGAATGCATCCCAGGGATTTTTTTCATCAGAATTCTCGCAGGTCGGGCCAGCTTACGATCGTTAAAGTTTCGGTGGGTTTCCTTCGAAACTTTGGCTACAAGAAGCGAGTGGGGAAGAAGCTTTTCCACAAAGTAAGATGCCTTTTCGACTGTGTAACATGTGTAAACGGGTCCGCAGGTGGAAATCTTTTGTCCGCAAGGGTTGCGAGCAGTGGAATACCAGCAAATTTGCAAGCTGTGCATACTTGCGCTTGAAAAAGCTTTGTGGGATTCTACGTTCCTGCAGACGTTTTCGCGTGTTTCACTGGACGTGTCCCTGAAAAGTGATTGCGGCACTGCCTTCGTCGACTGGTGAGCTTGCTGGTATCGTCTCTGCTCGTGTTCTTTGAGGTCCTTGGCCTCGGTCCCAGCTGAAGCACTCCTAGTCTTATAGAACTTATAGTCATAGTCCCGATTTAGCCGAGCTGTCGACCCGGTGCGTCATGTACGATTCTTCTGATCAGAGGTCACTGAGATGATTTTAAAGGAGCTCAAGTTCCACATGGCCGTTAACACCTGCCATCTTCCGACATGCGTCGTCACAGCTGTTGCTTGCGGCACTTTGCTTGAAGGTGGTCCACATTTGTCTAGATCCGTGTCACAACATCTGTGGCATCATGTCTCGCAACAGCGGCACAGCAGAACGCTGCCCACTCATCCCTCGATGTTGAGCCAGCGAGCACAGAACAAGGTCTTCTCCACTGCACCGCTCAAAAGCTGCCCCGAAAACGAGGCGGGCTGAAGCATTGCTGGCACACCCATTCACTCGTAGCTTCACCCTTCCTGACATAAGCTAACAGACACTATGTGGAAGCATTGACAGCGTTCGCCAGCCGCTGTTACCTGCTTCGCATCACATGACCAGACTTGGGAAGCAGGTGAAAACGAGTAGCGTAATCGTGGCATGTACGCCAGACGAACGGAACTGCTCGAATGAGCTCGACTGGCTGTGGGCCACGAAGCGGTCCGTGGCGACAGGCACCTCGTGCCGACGTGGGACCGATGGGCATCGACCCTTCCTGAGACTGCGCAACAGAAAACGAAGAAGGACCACTTTGTTTCCGAGTTTTCGTCATTCATGTTTTTTGTCTTCCACTTGACAAACCTGCATTCCCGTCGGATACCGAACAGCATAATCTTGCACTGTGCTCATTTCAGAGTGTTTATCCTCTCTAGCAACAAAGACGTGGCTTGTCGCAGGGACGTCGCGAGCCGGTGTCGCGGCCAATGTCCTCCTCCACGATCTCAACATCATCACCCGGCAACACGACGACCGCTGTACTGAGGTCATCGCCATCGGGCTGCCACTCTGGGGAGTCCAGCTCGCTGTCGACAGTACTCGCACGCAGCTGCAGCATTTCACACGGCTTCCAAAAACGCAAAGCAACCCCGAAACCTTCAAAGGCAAAACAAGGCGCACTCGGACCACTCCCCCAAACGACCGGCTGCAGACCAAGGGCTCGGCACATCCCGCCCCACCCCCACGGCCCTCCCGCCCCTATACCCCCCCGCCCGCCCGCCCGCTCGGATGGAGACAGCACTCGGCGGCACAAGCTGAGCCACAACAGCAAGCAACAGGGCTTCGGCTCTGTAAACTTCGACGTTCCACGCAACTTGCCTGCCACACCAATTTGGTTTGAGCACCAGTGTTGGCACCAAGGACGTGAAACGCTAACTCCCCGCGGCGATCCCCGGCGCTAGTGAAGCCAACACCCCCGCCACCGTCTTGTCAGTCGATGCTGTGGGCGTGTTTGACGACGTCGCGGGAGCCATGCCTTCGCGGCGAACTCTGAGCTTCAGACTGAATCCCCGTCCTTTAGGATGGGCTGCGTCAGTAAATAACTTTGCGGAAGCTCAGCCCAATTAGGTCTAGACTCAGTATGACTCAGTATAGGGTCTGCGGTCAGTTATTCTACCAATCTCTGTTTCATCGAGCACTGCAAGGAACCCCGCCACCTCGCGGAGGTCGGGCGCCTCACCAGCATCCCAGTCCCATCTCGGATGCAATCCTCTGGCACAGTGTGAGGCCACGATCAAGCAATGTATCGGCTAACAAGACGTCGTCATCAACACCGAGTGTTTTGCTTTTGTTCCGTAGTCATGTTCTACAAGCCTCCCACAAAAGTTCGAGTCGCTATGACTTTTACCGCGCCGCGTCAAGGTGGCGAAGGAATGTCGCGCACCCGTACGGAGCAACTGTAGCCTCGAAAGCTGCCTCAAAAGCGACCCGCAGCTGCAGCCGTTTGCAAAGCATCGCTTCGGCGGAAGGCGGGGCCGACAACAAAGCTGGAGGTAAAGGTCGGCATGTTGTACAGACTTCCGCACAAAAGCTAGAGTCGTTATGACTTTTGCCGCGCCGCTTCAAGGTGACGAAGGAAGGTCGACAACTTGTACGGAGTGACTGTAACCTCGAAAGCTGCATCATCAAAAGCAGCCCGTAGGCCGAAAGCAGCTGCAGCCGTACGCGAGGCTCCGCTTTTTGTTCTGCAGCGCGAACGCGGCCCCTGTGCAGTCTGCAGTCTACCGGGAAAGGGGCTCCGCTGCTGGGAGCGGGGCCGCGGGCACACAGGGGCGGTGGCTTCAGGAGCCAAACATCTCGGCAAGCAAGCGCCTGGCATGCGGCGGGCTGTCAAGCCGGCGCTCGGCGAGCACGTCGCTGAGGTCGAGGGAGGGGGCCATCGGTGAGGGGAGGGGCAGCGACAACAGCGAGGCCAACGAGGCTGCAAAAGGACTTGGTCTGGCGGCAGCGACACTCCTGCAATCATTTGGGGTTCGGCGACGTGTGTATCAACAGTGTTCCGCGCGACACTCCTGCAATCATTTTGGGGTTCGGCGACGTGTGTATCAACAGTGTTCTGCGCGACACTCCTGCAATCATTTGGGGTTCGGCGACGTGTGTATCAACAGTGTTCCGCGTGACACTCCTGCAATCATTTGGGGTTCGGCGACGTGTGTATCAACAGTGTTCCCACCGCTGGACCCACGCTGCGGTGCTGGGCTGGCAAGCAGGTGGGGAAGCCCGGACCATGCTCGGCAGCGGAAAGGAATCGGACGAACTGACTGGCCTCTGCGCTCCAATGTCTTTGGGTATAGGTGGCACCGACAGTGTTGCGCTGGCGGCCTTTGGCGCGGCGGTGGTGAACGCAGCGAGTAGGATGCTAAGTAGTTGACCAAGAGGTTTTATTTTTTTTCCCGCGCCTTTCTGCGTCTGCGACAGGGTACTGTAAGGTCTTGAGTCGGTAGAAAACCTAAAAGCGGCGCCTTGTTCACGGACTTTCAGTTGCGGAACGGCAGCGTGCTGGGCCCCTGAGCGTCGGCGAGCTCGAACGCAAGAGCTTCTGCCGCACCCGACCCGCCGCCCTCCGCCGTGTTGGCGAAAGCGCTCGGAACGGCGGTCAACTGCGAGCGCTAATAATTGCTGATGTTTTCATTTTCCTCCGGACCTTTCTCCGGCTGCCACAGGTGCCTGAGCTCCGAAGGTTAGGGGTACAGCTAGCTTTCCGCCGCACGAGACAGCGTCCGTGGTAGTTCACACTACGGCGACAGGGGCGACAGGACCATCATGGACCGTCGCACGGCGCCAACCCAGGGGCGCGAGGCAGCCAAGGAGCGCCTAGCGGGCAGGCCGGCTGTCGCTGATGGGTTGTAACCCCGCGCATCTGCAAAGAGCTCGTGGAGCTCCGGAGCCTCACCAACGGGGAGCTCCTCCGCAGGGGACCTCGAGCTTAAAGGCTGCATCGTCGCGCTGCGCCGCGACAGCAACGAGGCCGGACCATCGTGCGACCTGCGCTGGAGGTCCACCGGGCGGCTTCAGCCAGTGACGGAGCTGAAAGAACCGCGGCGGCCCCGGCTGCGGACCTTGGCTTGATGGCCTAGACCTCTTAACAGAATTTCGAAGTTTCGTTCCCACCCGTCCGTGGAACTGTGCCCCGAGTCCTCATTCCCGGAGTCCGCCCAGAGCTCGTGTTTTCGCTTGAGACGATACGCATTGCGCAGAGGGGCCGTGATGAGGCAACGAGTGTTCAGGCTTGGAAACATTTCCTGTCGCCGCTGCATCCTCCCGCGCTCCGCTCGGTTTGGGTCCGAGGGCCGTGCAGTTCTCATCCGTTATGCGCCGGTTGAGCTCTTCAGCCAGGGCCGCTTCGACGAGTTGCACGCGCATGCAATCCTTGGCGGCGAGCGAAGAGGCAAGGACCCGGCGTGCCGAGGTCCCTGACGGACTCGGCGCGCTGCGCCGCCCGGCACAGCCGCTGCGCGCGCCAGCGACGTCACCATCATCCTTCAGTGCAGGCCTGCCGCCCTTTCTGAACGTGCTAGGTTGGGGAGGCGCAGCGCACCTCCAAGCGCGGCTCGGCGGCAGGATTGCTTGGCATGATCGTCGAGCTGTAGAAGCTGTTTTTCAACGATGCGACGGCACTCGAGTCGGAGGGCGTCAAGCAACGCGACCCGCTCGCACCGAGGCTTTATGCGCTGGGCGAACACGGCGGCTTCCCTGGCTGCACGACGGCCCGTAGTTCGCAGGTTGCACGGGGTGTCGGGCCGTCTGGACTTGCGAACATCAAAAAGGTGCGCGGGAAAAATAAAAATTGACATTTCACATGGTTCGGGCTCTAGCATTTGCGGTTTAGGGTTCTTGCTTATGGATATCCCGCAGGTCGAGGTCGCTGGAAGGTCCGCGCCTACGATTTGCACCCAGCAGCTATGCGTTTGCCGAGGCGATCGCAAAGTGGCGAGCCGCGCATCCGGGCAAGCAAAAACCGCAGCATTTTCTGTTGTAATCGCGCGTCTTCGGTGATTTGCAGCAGGGCAGCAAACGCCTGGTCCTTGGAGTTCTTCCGGCCAATGTGATTCCCAAACAGGTGCCTGCTTTTGACGTTGGCCTCAGG